CTACATGAAATGTTAAGTAGCTCATAGTTATTCTTGAAAATATGTCTATCCTATTATTAATTTAATGTATTCCTCTTATCTGAAAAAATAATCTGTTTATGCTACAGTAAAACTAGTATTTTTTTATTTGGGAACGGGTCACGCGGTTTCCAGTTATTACTTCTTTGGTTGCATATTTCTTCCTCTTAGATGCACATATTTTTTGTACTTTGTCAGGGTTGTTACTTGTTGTATGCCTTGCCGTATGCACAGTGATTGAACTCCTTTCCATGTGGAACTTGACAAGAATTGAAGTTCACTTGTGCAATATGTTGTCTCCCGAGGCACCTCAACTGTCACTTGCTTCTTATAACTGGTGTCTTGTAAGTTCATTCAGACTTTGCCTATAAACCAAACAGTTTATTTCCATTTCTTCCCACTTACCTTTGAAGGTTTGATATTTTTCATTGACTACAAGATTTCTGCTGAACATAGTCTTGCCAACAAATATAAAATTAAAATGTAGGTACATTGCACTTGAATTAGATAACCACAAGTGGTTAAAATGTATTGCTCAAGAATTTTATTTGTTTGTTATATACTGGAAAACAAAGTATTCATATAGTCAAGCCTGACTAGTTCAGAATTGAGGAATAAACGTTGTACCAATGTGGTTTAAAATAATCAAGATTTCAGTATGAAAATCCTGTATGGTCCTGTTTGCTTTTAGTTTTTTATCACAATACAAGTCACTAATGTTTAATTGTTTGATGTCTTACTTGAGCAGGTATTCATTGCAATGCTGGTTGACAATTTTTTATACCCACTATCTGCAATGCGTTCTCATCTTTCTCAGTCCATCAACTGGTCTGGCATCCGATATCATTTGAAAGATGGGAAGATATGCAAGGTATCCCTTCCTAAGGCACCCTTCTGCTTTCAGAGCAACATTATAATCTTTCATAGAAATCTGCTTGTTCTAGGATTCGGAGTTCTCTTTATCCCTCAGACTAATTACTTCAAAGAAAAGCTAGATGTAGCAAAGAGAAATGTTTTCTACTGTGTTGAAACGGAACACTTTAGATACTCAAATTACTTCCAGACGGTTTCATATCCAGTCTTAGTCTTGCACTTACATGTATTAAAAATTCGAGTGTAAACCCCAAAATCATGTTACAAGTATAAGGTAGGATGTTGAGTCATATAACAACATTCCAAACTCCCATTGTCCTTGGTCTAGTATCTCATGATTATACCGAATTGTCTAGTGAAGAAAATTAAACACGTCGTGAATAACAACAACGGAAACCATCATCTCTCCCTTTTTTCTTTTGCAGATTGACAGACACAAGCATTTGGTTCCTAAAATTACAGATTTGGCTGGAAAAGATTTGCTTGGAAAACAAGGATCAATACCTAAGGTTGCTATTATTAGTACATTGTCCAGAACTTTAGCTCAATGGAGACAACCAAAGAAATATAACATTTAGATAATATCCAATCAGTGGTAAATTATGTGATTCTTTTGCTCCCTTGGTATTAGTGACCAAGGATTTGCTTGACCATTTTTTTTTTGGGCCTTTTTTATCCCTTCTGATCTTAAGGGGTACATCATTGATATAGGTTGTAAGTTGTAAGGGTTATTGTTTCTGGCTATTAAATTCATCACTTCATTCTTCTAACTAAGGTCTACCATGCTTTTGGGCTGGTTTTTGTAATTGTAATGTTTATTTGTAAAAAATTAATGTCCATTTCAAAGTTAGTTTAAGATTGTATTTTGGGTGGTGGCTGACCAATAGATAACAAGTGTAAGGTTATGTTGTTTCTCAGTATTAAATTTTATCACTTCATTTTTCTCATTCTAGTGCAAGTTGTGCTGAACTTTCTAGTTCTAATGTTATTTTTTTAAATAAATTTTGCATATCTATTCACTTCGGAACTAGTTTTATTACACAACGTTTGAAGTTAGACTTGACAAACTCTAACTTGATCTTGAAATTTTGGTTTTTGAAATGTTACTAACAAAGGGAGAGGAATGATGATATTTTTGTTTGAACTTTAGGTCATATGGTTGAAGTGTAGCTACTTTTGCGAACCTTAGTCATATGAAATTTCTAAGGTGAGGGAGATGTATACATTTTTTTTATAATACAAATATAAATAGTATGTTATAATAAAATACTCAATTTTTTTTACTATTTTGGTGCAGTAAAAATATCGATGAAAAGATAAACATATATTCAGCTTCCTTAAAATCACATCAATTATTTGTTGTCTCTAGCAAAGATAGATCCAACTAAAAAATAAAATTGTGGTTGGGGGAGAGAAAATGGGGAGTATTACGAATTGAGAAAATCAATCAATCGAACTACTAAAATTCCCTCTTCTTTCTTTCTTATATGATTTGAAGAAGAAAAAACAGTGAAACACAAAAAACTAGCTATCTAAGATATCATGCCGGCAAATAGGGCAAGAATTGCTATGCTCTAGCCATTTTGCAATACAATCTTCATGAAACACATGTGAACAAGGTGTGCACATCACCTCTCCCTCCTTTCCAGGCTCTTCAAAACAAATCACACAATCATCACCCAAAATACTTTTATCAAGAAAACGTTTAACGACGAATATTCATGTATCAATGGACACCTCCACTTTTTCGCGTCCCTTGTTAGACTCATCATCAAAAATGTCACGTACTTCGCCTATGATATAACATATGATATCTCTACGATAATTATCCTCAAACTCTTCTCCGAAGGCATTGTAGAACAAGTCGTATGACGCGTATATAGAAGGGTAATATTCAAGATGACGCGATTTAGCAAACATATGGCGATAATATTGGAGTTGTTGAGGGTCACCATTGTTAGTTTTAATAAGTTATGTTAGGAATAAAATATCTATCGTTATGTTTGTCCTAGTCTTTAGGAAGAAGTTTAAATGTGGGCTGTTGTCAAATTTTTAGGAGAAAATCTTGGAGCAGTGGTTCCTAATTTTTAGCTTCAGTTTTTCTGCAATGTATTTGTTTTATAAAAGGACTGCTGCAGGCAGCGTAATAAAGTAGTCAGGAATTTTTTATCACATACTGCCTCTGCTCTACTTCATCTATTTTCTGTTCTTTTTTTTCTATCAACCATGGGGTGGTTTATACCAACATAATTCAACTGCACGAAGGTGAAATCGAATAGATAAAAGTGTTAAAGAAGAAGAAATATTGCTATCTTTATTAATGTTTAATTTTTCTTGTGGTGTTTTTATTTGACTAAATACTACGCAAGCGTGTGAGGAGGGAAGACTGTAATAGAACATAGTTTCCATATTTATATATTTTTGGTTTTCCACTCGGTGTGAAAACAGATGGTAGTGATAGTTGTAGGTAGTAAATTATGGTAATGGTGCGGAGTTGATGATAAATGATAAACGAATATTGTGATTCCAAACTTCTGATTGAGAATGAAATAATAATAGTCTCAAACGGTCTTTATGTATTTATAAGAGTTGAGAAGCAAATTCTAAACCGATTCGACATGGGAACTTTGAATTTAATTAGGAAAGGTTTAGTTAATTCTGTTTCAATAAAGACCCAAAATAAGTTACTAAAATAAAATAAAAAGTAAAACAAATACCTTTTCCCTTTGAGATGGATTATATTTTTTCTTTTCAATATTTCTCTATATTATTTAAATGTGAATGATAATCCTCTTGAGCAATATTTTTTTTATTAAAGTTAGAATTTTAGTACAAAGAAAATGGGTATTCCTTAACTAATCAAAAACGTTGTTCAAATAATTACGAAAAGAAAAAGCATAATGTAAGTGAGCTTGGAATTCTCAATTTGTTCAAAGTGTTATATTCAATTCAACTATTGAACATATCCTATCAACTATTTGTATCTAGCAAACATAGAATTGGGGTGGGAAAAGAGAAAACGGGGAGGAGATTACAAAATGAGAAATCGAGAGTTCAGGTAACCAATCAATCGAGCAACTAAAATAGTTAGATATCTGGGAGATCATGACGACAAACAGGGCAAGAATTGCCATTCTCTAACCATTTTGCAATACAATCCTCATGAAACACATGTGAACAAGGTGTGCACATCACCTTTCCCTCCTTCCCAAGCTCTTCAAAACAAATCACACAATCATCGCTCAAATTATTTTTATCAACAAAACGTTTGACGAAGAACATTATACCAACAAACACCTCCACTTTTTCACGTCCATGGTTAGACTCATCAACAACAATGCCACATATTTTGTCTATCACAACATGGATGATATCACTACGATAATTATCTTCAAATTCCTCTCCCAAATCCTCCATATTTTCTTGCAAAGCATGGTAGAACAAGTCGTATGACATGTATATAGAATGATAATATTCAAGATGAAGTGAATCAGAACGAACATGTCGATAATATTGGTACTGTTCAGGTTCATTGGGAGGTTTATACCAATATAGTTCATGTGTATCAAGGTGAAATCGAATAGATAAAAGTGGTAAAGAAGAAGAAATTTTGCTATCTTTACTAATGTTTAATTCTTCTTGTGGTGTTTCTATTTGACTAAATACTACACAAACATCTGAAGAGGAACGACTGTGATTCAAAATAGTATCCATATAATATATTTTTTTGATTTTCAACTCGATATGAGAGCAAAGGGTTGTAGGTGTAGGTAGTAATGGTGCGGCGGTTGATGATATATGAAAATAGATGTTGTGATTTGAAACCTTTGATTAAGAGTAAAAAAAAAAAGAAGCTGAAAATAGGAAGTGGTCTCAAACAATCTTATGTGTTTATAAGAGTTGAGAAGCAAAAATTCTAAACCAATTCGACTTAGGAACTCGATTTAAATAAGGAAAGAGTTAGTTAATTCTATTCTAAGAAAGACCCAAAAATAAAATTATTAAAAATGGCATAAAATAAAAAGTAAAGAGAATTACCTTTTCCCTTTGGAAGATGGATTATTATATCATAAATAATTTGAAATAACAAATTTTTGGGAAGCAATAGGTTGTCGGAGACACAAGTGATGCTTTATTATGAGATAGGCAAGCTCCTCGAATTTTTACATCACATGAACAATTCGTTACAAATCAATTGATGGAAGTAATCATTTATATTTCTAGATCACCGATGCAGAAGTCATCAATCATCTCAAATACTCGCGTAGCATGTTGCGGCCTGCAACAAGAATGTGACCGCGATTTGAATGGTTAATACAACAGCAAACAATGAAACTTTGATGAAATAAGGCAATGAAGGAAACACAGAACCACAAATGGAATAGGAGCAAGTATGATCAGTGATTACACAGTTTAAGAGGCTACTTTAAGTCTCTTATCTTTGGGAAAAGAAAAAAAAATTCCCGAAGATTGTTGGAAAATCACCTAGTGTCAAGCCATAAGGGATTATCGGAGGGAAACTAGAGCAAAGAGACAAATGTGGATATGATTTTTTTCTTAGTGTAACTGAATTAGTGGAAGATTGAGCCGAGGTCTATCGGAAACAACCTCTCTACCCACAAAGGTAGGGGTAAGTGGTAAAGTCTGCATACATCTTAACCTCATCAGACCCCACTTCTAGGATTACACTGTCGTTGTTAACTGAATTAGTGGAAGAAGGATATATTTGACAAAGGCTTACCCATAGAAACCTTCAGTTGAATCATCACCAGCATGATCTAGGATGGCATCACCCCCTGGGTGTTCTTCAACATACGAGGTAACATCAAACACCTAAAGACAGAAAAAAGCGAAGAAGAGAGTATATATTACGAAAGGAATGTGACCAGAAAAGGTTAATATTCCACAAGTGTAAGTAATGGTTTATGTGGTCAAGTAGAGAATCAAAAAGACCTTATCTTTGATAATAATCCAGCAATCAGTTCTCTTGTTATGCCGTGCAACTTCAGCTTTGCTATATGATTTGACTGCCTTCAGTTTAAAAGAACACATCCCAAAAGAAAGAAAAGGAATCAGCACAATCACAGAACATACGGAAAATATAAAGACGAGAAAGCGATTGTACAACTGCTGGTGCACAAACAATATGCACAAGAAAAGAAAATTATCAAATCGGTCAGTTATGAAGCTTTGTGCAGTTATCTAGCAAAATAATTCGCTCGCAAGAAATGACTACGATAGATGCAAGACTTGTCAATTGCTTTAAACACCAACACAATTTATTGTTCTCAAAGGACTTCCCTTCCTTTAAGGTTTATCCTTCTTTCATAGACACATTCCACCGTCCCCTCACCCCACCCGGCCACCACTTGGGGAGGGGACAGAGTGCACACAAACCTTACCCCTACCTCAGAAATAGAGGCTTGATTCGGATAGACCCCCCCCACACACAAACAAGGTTTAAGAATAAGAATAGTTCAAGCAGGGTATCACCTATCATCTATAAAGAGATAAATCTAATACACAAGGAGTAATCAACAAAGTAAACTAATATATCCATGTGTTTTACAAAAAACCGGGAGAAATCTGAGATATCAAACCATTAACAGTAAGTTTCTGCTTCTTTGTCTTCTCCAAATGCTCATATCAGTTAATTAATTGTATGGGTTGTAGTCTCCTTATATGATCTTTGAGTAATCCTTATAACTTGAGCTAACTTCAAGTTAGGCCAAGGTCCATTTCCTTAACATGGTATTAGAGGTAGAAGTATCCCTATTCCCTAGTGTTCGGCTACCCAGTTGGGCCATCCATATCATCGTACTCTATGCTCTATGCTCTAGCCTCTAGATGTCCAACCCTCAGCCTACCGGCAGTATTAAAATCCCACGTAGTATATGAGTTGTAGTTTCCTTATATGGTTTTGGGAAATCTTGACAACTTGAGTAGGCTTTGTGGAGTTGAGTTGGAACCAAGATGGAATTTGTTTTACCCACAGTAAGAATGACTAAAACTATTATCTTGACAAGCATAGTTATTAAGTGAACAACTGAAATGAAAGGTCTAGAATTTAACAACAAAAGTAACTTATCAAGGACCTATTCAAACAACCAAAAAGATTATATGTGATATGACTGTAAGTTAAAGTACCTTGTTCTGAACATTTGAGGCAATCTTTCTTTTCGGCTGAACTGTGGTAGAACACAAACGAAAATAATCAAACATCAAATTCTTTCTGAGCATAAGAACATTACAAACTTGAAACCTATAAAGATATGACACTTAAACCTGACTCAACCCCAAAAGATAACTCATGAAAGGACGATTGCCCAAGTCACATATAAGTAAACCACCCGTCCATTTCCCTACCAAATGGGAAATCTAATCCACTCAAACATCCCATTTACACCTAGACCCAACTAGAGCGTGAACCTAGATCCCAATCGGGGATAGACTTGACCCTAACACTATATAAAGATATAACATTTAGGCCTAACTCAACTTCAAAAACCGACTCATGAGAAGATGATTGGCCCAAATCCACATAAACAAACCACATCCATTCCCAACTAATGTAGGACTCTAACCCACTCTAACATCCCTTTACACTCACAAGAAGCGCCCAAACAGGATGAACATGAACCTGACACTGATACTATGTAAAGATATGACATTTAAGTCTAACTCAACTCCAAAAACCAGCTCACGACAAAAATGCAAATCTATATTAGCAAACCACCAGTCTATTCCCCGCTCTAACAAAACCTATACAGAATCAGCTAAAAAGCTTACCAGATTTACTCCGCAGTCGAGATATCACAATGAACACAGCTAGCAAGATACCCAACAATACTGTCGCCAAAATAGCCTCCATATCTCAAATTTTAGCTCTGTAGTTGAACAAATGAGCAAAACAACTAGAAATTAGAGCACATATATAGTTATAGTTGAACAAATGAGCAAAACAATTAGAAATTACAACACATATAGTTACAAAATATCATCAATGGCGGCATAACCCTAAAACCCCAAATTGAGTTCGCTCAGATACGAAAACATACCGAAGATGCAAAAAAAAAAAACAAATTCGAGCAAAAGACAAGATTAAGCGATGTAAAATATATTAATGGTGAAAAGCACCATATTAACAAAAATACCCTTTACACCTTGTTTGGATGCCGCCACTCATGGTATTGTATTGTATAATTGTTAGAGTCCGTTTGAAATGTAAAAAAACAATTTTTGGTTTTAAAAAAAGAAAGAGAAGTAGAAACAGAAAATTATTTATTTCAAGACCAAAATATCTCTGTCATATATATACATATTTATCAATATATTTCTTATATTTATTTATTATTGTAATGAGTTTTTTTTTGTATGTATTGATTTAATTTTGTTAAATTGTTTTTAAGTTTATTTTCCTTGATATTTTTTATTATATAATCGTTATGTTAATGTTTTATCAATATTTAATTTATTTTTTTATTCATCTATGTATAATATTGATATAAAAGTTGAATATGTATATTTTAATTTAATAAAATAAAAAATTAATTATAAATTTTATAATAAGTATTTTAAATAATCTTTAATATTAGAAGTGCATTGATATTTATCCATTTTTCGTAATTTGACTCTTAAAACACTCTGTTTGGATCATTGTTACCCATTGTTTCATAATGCATTGTATTGTATTGTACTCTATTGTATGGTAGATACAATGTTTGGTTAGACTGTATTGTTTGTTGTTGTTTAATAACATTTTAATTATTTGGTTTGATTGTATCGTACTGAATTGTAATTTATAAATTTACTAAAATATCCTTAATTATTCTA